TAATGTGACAGCACTTCCAGATAGCATGATGTTTGGCTCACCGGTGCTGGTCTTTTTTGAAAACAGTTGTTTTATATTGTCGTTCCTTATTCTGTCTCTTCGTGAGATTCGCATGGATCTAATAGCATCCATTTCAACTGCTTCGACTTTTTTCTTTTGTCTGTCTGTAATTCTCCAAGTCTCGGCTCCATATAGAAAGCTGCTCTTTATCATTGTCTCGTATATATTAAATTTTCTCTTCTTTGTAATTTCCTTGCTCCATAATATTCCATTTAGGCATCCTATTACTTTTTTAGCTTTAACTATTCGCTTTTCTATTTCTTTCACGTTTGTTCCGGTGTTGTCGAATGTGATACCTAGATATTCATATTCTTGACATTGCAGAATTTCCTGACCATCGTCCACTTCCAAGTTTCCGTTCTGGTTGCCTACACAAAGATGTTTTGTTTTATTTATATTAACTCTCAGGCCCCATTCTTGATACTCTTCTATCAGCTTTCTAATCATATATTGCATGTTCTCTTTGTCACTGGCCACTATGACCTGATCATCTGCAAACTGAAGAGTAAACAGGCACCTATCATTTATCTCTATACCCATTCCATGGATCTTTCCAGTGGCGTAACTACAGGCGGGCCTGGGGGGGGCCGGGCCCCCCCCTCCCAGACGTCGCTAGGCCCCTCCCAGAAAAAACTTTAATAATTTGGTATTTTATGAGAGCTACGTTACCTATTATAATTTTATGTTATTACCTACTAAATTTGAACGGTAATGCGCGGCGATGCCGATCGACCCTATTTGATCCTCCGATCCACCAACGAACGGGCTGTGTGCAATTGTGCCACCCAAAGATCAGTGCAAATTGCAATGTGCAGAAGTTATTCAGTATACCAAAGCCATTAAATTAGCATTAGCAATATAATAGATTATTTGGGAGTTTGACTAAATATTTTTCCTGTGAATCCGTGAATCGGTGTTGCTGATATGACTTTATAGTGGCTGATAAGCTGGGTTAGCTAGGTAAGCGATTTAAGCCCGGTTTAGTCAGCTAATCGCAATAACAGGCCCTAGGCCACTGCTCCCAACTACAAGAGGGCATTGGAGCAGGTGTTCCCATGAGCAACCTCTCATGGGTGCTCGGAGCTCTCGTAGAGAATACGAAAGTACAAACGTATTTAATGGTCATTCCGTTCCGTGTGGTAGTATCAGTATCATGTATGTAATTTAAATTTACACAACTTTGTATAAGAATTATACAAGTGGTATTAGTCTTAGATTAGGGAGGTATTAGTATTCTGTCCTTCCGTTATTTGTGGTCAATTCTATGCTCTATTACTTTATATTGCTAACGTTGCTATTCTCCATCTCTATTCTTTGATAATAATCGGGACATAAGGCATTTTAGGACATAAAAGTACCAGGCATAATTATTTTGATAATGATGTGATATTTTCATGGCCTAAAATGCGTGCAGAAAAAAGCACTTTTCGCACGCTCGTAGAAAAAAATAGAAAAATATATACAGGGTGTCCCAAATTCGAGGGGGACCATTGAGATATCGGAAACTATAAGAGATACGAGGTCGGTTAAATTATGGCAAAGTTGCGCAATTTTATAACCAATAAAATGCCGTTTTGAAATTTGAAAAGTTCTGAATACTTCCGAAGATATTCGGAAAAAACCGAATTTTTGCAAAATCATTTTTATTTTTTCCTGAGTCTATTTGAAGAGCAATTTCAAAATAAATGGCACTTCATCATTGTCATTTTTTCCTCTTTACAAGATGTTGCTACCAAATTTCAGATTCGACGTTTCGTCTTTGGACGGCCATCATCATCTTTATTTTTTCGAATACGATCCTGGATTTTTTATTTCAGATTTTAGAGGCTTTTGATGTCCCAAAACCTATGACGTATCGCATTTATTCGAAAAACTATTTTTTTTTTTAGTAATTTCCTCCCAAAATTTTCTCTGTCTCTCTCTAACACATTTAGTTCTTATGGAAACTGCCAATAATATAAATTTTTCGAAAAAAATGCGATACGTCATGGGATTTGGAATATCAGAGGCTCTTAAAATCTGGAATAAAAAATCCAGGTCCGTATTTGAAAAAAAAAAAGTTGATGATGGCCGCCCAAAGACAAAACGCCAAATCTGAAATTTGGTAACAGCAACTTGCAAAGGGCAAAAAGTGACAATGATGAAGTCACGTTTATTTTAAAATTACTCTTCAATAGACTCGGGAAAAAATAAAAATGATTTTGCAAAATTTCGGTTTTTTTCGAATATCTTCGAAAGTATTCGGAATTTTTCAAATTTCCAAACGGCATTTCATTGGTTATAAAATTGCGCAACTTTGGCATAATTTAACCGACCTCGTATCTCTTATAGTTTCTGATATCTCAATGGTCACCCTCGAATTTGGGACACCCTGTACACTATAAAATAGATCTTTTTAGGCGTGGCATCCGGAAAAAAAAATTCGCCTCCGCCGGCGCCTACGGCGAGTTTCCCCCTCCCCCTATAAAAAAAATTATAAAAATATTATCCTGCGCCTATGAGGACTTTCAAAAATCGGCGCCTCTGCCAGGCCCACCCTAGGCCCCCCCAGTCAGATGGCTAGTTACGCCAGTGGATCTTCCTCTTCCAATTTTTCAGTGCTACTGCTACGTATATTTTGAAAAGCGTAGGAGAGATACAACATTCTTGACGTAGTCCTTTATTTACTATAAATGTGTCTGAGTCAGTCTGTGAGTTTTTTACCTATCTTAATTCTTGATTTTGAGTCTTTATATAGTTCTTTAAGTGCCGTTATGTAGGTGTGATTGATGTTTGTGTGTTCTAATACCTTCCATAGTCTGGATACTGGGACTGTATCGTATGCTTTTTCTAGGTCAACAAATGTGAGGTGGCTTTCCAAATATCTAGCTATCTAGCTTTTCTATGACTTGTTTTAGGCAAAATACGTTGTCCGTACCTGATCTTCCTGCTCTAAAGCCGCACTGTTCTTCTTCTTCTTGCTCTTTATAATCTTCTTCAATGAGATCACGCAGGATTTTACCGTATAGTCTGCTTAGTGTGCTTGTGACTGATATGCCCCGATAGTTATTGCAATCCAGCTTATTTCCTTTTTTGTGAATGGATGATATAAAAGTCGTTTTCCAGTCTTGTGGAACAGGATGTCCATTTAGGAATTTATTGATAATACATGTGAGACCTTTAAAGAGCTTCTCAGTTCCCCATTTCAGCTTTTCTGAGTATATCCCTTCTGGGCCGCTAGCTTTACCTGACTTAAGATTCTTAACAGTCTTTTTCACTGTTTCTTCAGATATCTCAACTACTTCTCCATGTACTTCAACAAATTCCGGTCTACTTTCTTGTAATAGACCCTTGTAATGTTCTACCCATTGCTCTGGTTCAATAATCTGAATATTAGCTCTGTCTGTGCTTTTGAGATACATACTGGTAGCATTTCCAGAGTCTAGTCGTAAGAATAGGGAGAGCTCGAGACACCGTTTCCAAATATATCGTAATGAGTGCTTGTCTCTGTATGTTGGTATTTTAGGTGAAAAGAGCTAATCAAAATTTATCCGTCCCTCTGTAATGAATGCGAGCCTCTGTATCATGGTATTTTAGTTGGAAATAGATAATCCAAGGATTGAATTGAAACTAACCCGTCCTAGGATAGGAGGCCTCTCTGCGCTTCCGTAGGATTTTAATTTTAATTTTTTTCCTAAAGATTATTAGGAGGACAGGTTAGTTTCAATTCAATCCCTGGATTAGCTCTTTTCGTTTAAAATACCACCATACAACGACTAGCATATATTACCCAGACGGGTTAGTTTGGATTAGCTTTTTTTGTCTAAATTACCAACATACAAAGAATAGCATTCATTACGAGGACGGGTTAGTTTGGAATAGCTCTTTTCCACCCGTTACGATGCATTTGGCAACGGTGTCTCGAGCTCGCCGTATTCCTACGACTAGACTCTTGTAATGCTACCAGTGTGTAGGTATCTCAAAAATATTAGGTGATGCTGGTTGCTGAGGTGATTGAAGCAGTTTGACCAAGAATCATAGCAACACAAGCAGGAACATGTTTGAGCGATCCTGCTTTCAACACACTAGAAGGGTGAAGTTAGCAACCAAAATAAAAATCGCTGTATCTCGAAAATAGTACGTGTTGCCTGGGTCAGATTTGAGGCAGGACCATAGCAGCACAAGCAGGAACGTATTTCAGCGATCCTGCTTCCAATGTGTTGCCAAGGCTGAAGTTAGCAACAAAAATTGAAATCGATATATTTCGAAAACGATGAGTGTTGCTGGGTTGCGGTTTGAAGCAGGACAAAGCAGTAATATAGCAGCACAAGCAGAGGTGCATTTTAAAAATCCTGCTTCTAATGTGTTGCTAATAAGGTTGCTAACTTCCCCAACGTTTCCGCAAGACATAGAGACCATGGATTGAACTCAGAACTTATATAAAGAGCATATGCTGAGCACAAATCCAGAGGCAGACCAGAATGGATGGATGGCGACCTTAAAGTAACCGAAGGATCAAACTGGAAATAGCTCAAAATCGAATTCGCTTGATCGATATATGGTAGAGCATTTTGTTAAATGCTCTATTCTGCAGATACATATTATGAAGAATAGAACTTCAATATTCATAATTACAGATCTTTTTGAATAATAAACTATGTTACCAATGTCTTTATACGTTATCTTCTAAAACAAGAACCACAAAAATGTTGGAAATTTTACTGGGATACATTACATTCACAAAATAAATAAAATACTTAATAGAAACTCTTAGAATTAATCACAACTTATTTAAGTTAAAAGTTAGAAAAGTGTTAAAATAAATGCTTTTTTATGTACAAACTATTATTTACCATTTTCCCTGCTTAGCATCATCGTAGTATTCCATCACCATCCGTGAAAGAAAGAAAATGTTATATTTACAGGAATTGTGGAAAAAGGGTGCAAAAGTAACTACAATATTATTTTTGCAAAAAGCTTTAATTCAAAAAAAGAAGATACACATTTCAATCTTCCAATAAATAAATGGATTTGAAAAAACTAATACAATAGGCATCACACTTAATGTTTTACAAGTACAAGAACAAAAAACAAAATTAAGTACAATAATTGAAACTAAAAAATAATGACCAGAATGAATTGCGTTATGACTATGAAGGAGTATTATTTAACAATTCATAAAAAGCACAATAATGAGTAGGTATACTAAAAATAAGAATAATCAAGGCACATTATCAGGCAGTGAGTTTTTTTACAATTCGAGACATCATTTATTATCCCTGTGGGTTATTAATGCGTTAAAACCACCACCAACCATTATTTTCCCTCTATCTACTTAAGATATTGAGATCTTCTCTCACCTGGTACTTGTAGGTTTGCCGTTGTATTGGTACTACCTACGGCGTTTGTTGCTGTACACGAATAGGTCCCAGCATCTTCTATAGAAGTAAATTAGTAATTAAAAAAAAATGACTCAAAATCAATACTAACCTGGATAAGCTTGTGTAATAATTAATCTACAAACGCCGTTCCTGAAATGGATCTGGTAATCGTTTGAATCTTGAATGATTCTTCCGTTTTTCGACCACAAAATATTTGAGGGAGGCTCGGACTGTAGGATGCATTCAAATTTGGCTGTTTGACCGCTCATGACAGCGATATCACGTAGAGGCTAAATCAAAAAATCTCACATTTGAATACAGCTTTTGGTAAAATGCATAATCTTTACCGTTATGAACATCGGAGCCCTCGGTTGCCCAGGTCTTATCAGTCTAGTAGTTCCTGGAGTACTAGAACGACTTGGAGGTGTTTGTACACCTGGTGGATCTATGAAAGAAAAGCATACATTTTACTTTAGTTGAAGGTTTTCTGGAAATTTATTCATGCCTCTGGTAAGAGATTATAGCCCATACATAGCTTTTTAACCAAAGTGTTCAAATACAAAATTTGTATGAATCTACAACATTAAAAGCAAATAAGGAAAAAAATCTGATAGGAATTTCAAATTTGAACGAGAAGAGTCCATTTACTTTGTCTACTACATGCTTAAAATTAATATAGGTACTCATGCGATAGTTGATCAGCCATTCCAAGCACACCAAAATACCTGCAAAAGTATGATTAAAAGCTGGAGAAGTACTAGGCAAACTAGGCGACAACGAATACGGACTACACGACGAAGGTTCCCATCGCGAACCTTGTGAAGATAATCCTGATTTCCTCTTCCAATCGCCTTCGGATTCTGACATTTCGCTCTCGGAAGTCGGGTCCCATTTGGTGGTGAACTTTTTGGGCTTGAATTGGGGCGTGGGTGCTGAATTGTGATGATTGTTCACATGATTATTGTGGTGTGTTGTTTCATGATAAACGGGCATCTCAATGTCAAATGATCGTTTCGGGGGCTCGATAATGGTCTTTTTGGGAACTGGGATTTCGCCAGACTTTGATTCGCCTGGCAGTACTATGCCGAATTCGTAACCAAAGTCGTATTTGAAGTATATTAGGCCAGTGTCGGGATCCACATGTTTAGTACCTGAGGAATAAAGTTAGTACCCATAATAGTATTCTACATTTAGGTAGCATTCAACCATTTTGTTAGCAAGCATTTTGACTCACCATGACTCATAGCTCTAGATTCTTCTCTATAAACTTGAGCATCGCTTTCAGTTCCAGTTTTCAAGATGGGTTTCTGCTGATGATGTTTTTTATTCACGTCACTAACGATATCCTGGACAAATTGTTGGGTCTTTGATTTGAAATCTTTCGTCATACTATCCATATGATGTGAAGCTAATTTCGTTGCTGTGGTTTTGGTTATTCTTTGGTCAGCAAGGTAACCGTATTGTGGTGGAGGCTCAGGTTGTAATCTAGCTGGTGGCTCGTAGGACTGGCTACGTTTCATAATCTGATTCGAGCCACTTTCAGAAAATTTCTTATACTGACGTCTTGTTTCGCCATCTGTATAATCTGTTGTTGTGGTGGTAGTACTACGAGCAGGTCCTTTATCAAAATCCATTGGTGTTTGAACTTTTTGCTGGTGACTAGCGTAGGCATCATAATAATCTCTCGATGGCGTTGGTGCTTTTACCCGCCTAAAATAATAATCATAGTTTTGATATCAAAATGTGGACTTAATCAGACTTCTTACCTGTAATGTAAATCTTCCGTATCGCTACCACCTGGTGTCCATTTGGGCTTAATCTTAGCTGAATCAACTTCACTCTCATAATCGCTTTCCCTAAACTCTCCAGGAATAAATTTGCTTGGGGTAGTTGGTGGAGGTACACTAGTAGCTCTTCTAGGACGTTCCGGTTCTGGAGAAAACGGAAATGGTGCCAATTTACTAGTTTGCTCTTGCTTTCTGTACTGGTCGCCAAATTTTATAATTTTATGAGTCTGTTGAACGCTCATTGTCCTTTTGCAGTTGTCTGTGGATTCGTCAAAGTGCATTACGTTGGAAGTTTCAGTTTGGACAGCGTTCTGATAAGGAGCAGATGTAGTTGACTTATAATACTGAGTCCTGTTTGGTCCAGGTGCGTAACCAAACTCCGGAGGCGGACCAGGTTCGATATAGGCAGTGTGGGGTGGTATTATTGGTACTGCAGGAGTAGCAACAATGACATCAGTTACTGACGCAGGCATTGGTTTAGGCTTGAATAGTGCCGACTTAGGGACTGGAGTGATTCTCTCGATAGGCGCAAACTTTGGTCTTTCGAATTCTGTTGCAGGTGTTGGGGTCCTGCCAGGCTGATAATATTGTTGATGAGTGGGAGTTAATACAGGCCGCACAGGTTTGTATTGTTTTTCAGTAGGGTGGCTCCAAATTGGTGGTACTCGTCTCTCATAATCGCTTTCGTAATCGCTTATTGTTTCTTGTTTGATGAACTTTGAAGGGCTGACAGGTGGTGCTACTGATTTAAAGGATGACTGATATTGACTTTCTTTCTGAATTTCCTCCATGTATTGCTGCTTGGTTTGATTTGAAATAATTGGGGTAGCGATGAATTCCTAAAAATATTTTGGATTTATTGTTTCATGAATTTTGGAAATTTATAAAGTGTTAGTTGGGCCCTAGCTACAATCGGGTCTTACATAATTAAATCTTTAAGAAACGATAATATCGTGCAAAACGGAAAAACATTTGATTATTAAGGACATTGGCATGTACTAAACATTTATCTTAACACAACGATTAATCACAAATTGGCATTCAAATATAATGGAAAATGCCTAGAATCCCCTCGTTTTTATTCTAATCGGTAACTTCGCTAGTTAGCTATCTTTGTTTAGTGAATGTGAACCGACATAGAATGGTGGATCCATCGGTAAAATTTGATGAGAATAAAAACGCAGGGTTTTTCATTCTCAAGCAGGTGACTAATGAAAAAAGCCTTATTTTTTAAAAATTTATCTGTTATATATTCTTGGTACCAAAATATAGAAACAATACTTGCGACCTGAAATCAAATTTTTACTAAAATGTAGTATACCTATTCAAAGGTAGGTAATTTTCCTTAAAATTTAAAATGGTAAATTTTGTCTAGGTTAAGAATTACTATAAAAAGCCATTCACGAGAGAAAATTGCAAATAAAAATAAATTTCAAACAAAAGACAAATAAGTAAACTAAATAACACACAAGCCAACCTTCTTAGATGAAGAAGAAACAGATGACTGATGATGCTTCTTGGCAGGGAATTTGGAAATTCTTGTGGGTTTTTGGGTCGAGGTGGATGTTTCGATAATTTTTTGACTAGATTGGGACATGTGCTTGGATTCAGTCCGCTCTTCCTTGAAATGTTCAGTCGTTTTCATGATGGTTCGTTGTTGGAATGGTTCGTCCGTATCAGCCATATAACCGTCAATGACAAATTTTTTTTTGGCTTTTGGGGATTCGGGTTTTTTTTCTGCGGCAGGGTAAACGTATGTGGGAGGACTCGCAGGCTCTATTTTCGGAGGTGATACCTCACGTTTCACCTGCTCGAAATGTTTTGTCATTCTCTTAATTTGCGAAGCATCCTTTTTGCGTCTGAATTCCTCAAAATTTACATCGGGTCTTGGAGGGCCTTGAAATTGAGGAGGATGATCGAACTTTGAAGGCGGTAAAGGTTCTGGCTCTTGCGATCTCGATCTAACCATTGAGCCTGGTTGAGGAGGTTTTACATGTCTATAACGCGGCTCATCAGTATCGCTCATCGAAGGTCTCCATTTAGCAGGAATTCTAACTGCCTCAAAATCACTTTCGTAATCACTATCCGTGAATCTTCCTCTAATAAACTTTGAAGGCGTTGGTGGAGGCCCAGTTTTGCCATGTTTTGGCCGTTCAGGCTCAGGCCTAAACGGAAATGGTTCTAAATTGGGAAATTTTTCAAAAGGTACAGATGGTAGCTCTTTTTTTGGTTTAGTTTGCATAGGTTTCACAGGTCTAGCGGGAATCGGGGGAGCTTGAGGATATTCTTTTTTGGGCGGCAATGGAGGAGGAATAGTGCGAACTGCACAGGGGAGAACTTTAGTTGGCTCTCGTTGTATTTCTTGCTCAAGCTCTTGCTCAATTGTTTCTACATAAGAACGTCTACGTTCTTTTGGAGGTGGTGCATAAGCCATTTCTGGTGGCGGACCAGGTTCCAAAATAACTTCATCGGTAATATCTTGAACAGATACTGGTCTTATGGGTAAAGATTCTAGCGTTGGGTGAGTATAATCCGCTTGTGGAGGCCACGATCTTAAAGACGGCTTAAGATTACTTTCTTCAAGGACATGATCAGATTTGAATGAAGAATATGATTGACTACTTGGCTCCTTTACTGTAGTTTCTAGTCGTGTCACTTCCCCCACGTAGTGAACTGGAGCTTTGTCTAAAAAAGTCCTGCTTTCTTGAACGAGTTTCTCAGATTTCATTTCTACAGGGGCCCAACTTTTTTCTAATGTAGTTTGAGTACTCCAGGTTGATGCTTTAGGCTCTGATGGCCACGATCTTTCTGTGTGTAAATCTGAAAATTTGTGAGCCCATTGTTTTTCCATTTGAAGTCCTTCCATTGATGGTTCGCCTGACATGGCAGACAAGGGGCGGCTGTAGCTTTGTCTTTCTGTAGAATAACTTGACGAGGCAGCAGAAACTGGTCTTTCTATAGTTAGTTTTTGTGTCATTTCAGGTGTTTGTCTTGACTCAAATGTACGCGAATAAGATGATGATGATGTTTGATACGAAGAACTTTGATAGGATTTTTCAGTTTTCTCCGAAAATTCTTTGCGTTCGCTTGAACTGTCAATAGAAGGCAAAATTTTTACTCCACCACGTGGTACTTCATGGGCGGGCAAATCTTTAGAACTTTCTGATATTTTATGCGCCCGATCACAAACGGTTTCTTTTTTTATTGTGGTTTCTGTTTTTGGAGCATAACAAATTTCAGCTGGAGGTTCTGGCTTAAGATCAAATCCTCGAATAATTTCCGAGGCAAACGTTTTATATTCTTGAGGTTCTGATATTTGTTGAGTGGATGAATAAGACGAATATTCTTGGGTAAATGGCTTAGAGCCCTGCTGAGTTGTTATCGAATGAGATTTATATTCTTGTTTAATGGGTTGTGATATTTTTTCTAGAGTGGAGGAAACAGTCTTAATTTGTTGAGTTGAGGGTATTGATTTGAATTCATGGGTAACTTCTTTCGAAGAAGTGGATGATGAGAATTCTTGAGTTATTGGTGCTTGTGTGGATATTTTTTCATAAGTTTTAATTTCAGTGAAAGGAGTAGGAGTTTCAATTTTTATGGGGATAGTAGTTGGACTAGAATCTGGAATATTGAATTTTTCAAAAATTTCTTTTTTAATTGGCTGAACTGGTTCTAAAGGAAATTCTTTAACTGGAGCTACTTCTCCATCTTTAATTTTCTTAACAAAGTATTGCAGAGATGATTCTTTACTAATTGAACTAGTTTCAATACCGCCTTCTTCAGTAACAGTCTTTTTCTCCTCGATAATTTCTTGTTTACCATCATGACCTAATCCATGACATATTTCATAATTAGATTGTTTTTCGTAACTGGATTTTTTATCAATAGGCTTGGGCATGGGAATATCGGGCATTTTATGTTCGAGCTTATAAGTTTGCGACTGTTGGGAGGTTTTTTGTTCTACAGTGGAAGTAGTTTCGGATGTGGACTTAAAGGACTTGGAAATTTCGTCTCGAATTGGTGTCACCTCAACTTTCGGCGCGATCGTACTAATAGTTGACGAGGTCTTGTCAGCGGTAGATGCCTAGGAAACGATTAAGAAAAGAGAAAAGATATAGTTCACTCTAAACTGCTGCTTTAAAACCTTTTTGAAGTATAATATAGCGAAAATTTGCCAAAATGTAAATTTAAAAATGATTGCTTACCAGGGTTTCATGCTTCTTTACATCCTCAAATACTACAGTTTTAACAACTTCCACCATCGTATCGGGGGTAGGTTCGTAAACAGCTATATCGGCGATACTTTGAGCTTCACCTCCTTCGTTAACTGCTCTAACCGTGTAGCGGCCAGTATGACGAAGTTCAGCTAAGAAATAAATTTAAACCCCAGATACTAATTTGCCTTATGAATTACTCTACCTTTATCAAGTGTCAGAGTATGCCCTTGCCCCATAGATCTCAGTTTTGGCTGAATTCCCAAAACATCTCTAACTGGAACTCCATCTTTCAACCAAGTGATAGTAGGTTCTGGAGTGCCAGTAACTTCAACTTCCATAATAATCCTGTCATCTTTTTTAACAACTTGCGCTTGAAGGCGTCTGCCGAATACTGGAGGAAATACTGTCTCTAAAAGTTTAAATAAAATATGAATTTAGAAAAGAATGGTATATAATCTCTCACTTCTCACAACTAAATCAGCAGTACTGACAGCCGTCCCAGCTTCATTTTTGGCCGTACAAGTATAACGTCCAGCATCACCAACATTAGCGTTTTTAATTTCTATTGTGGTCTTATTAAGCGAATAAGTAATAGTAATTCTATCACTTTGAATTAGGTCTTTTGCATCTTTGGTCCACGTTACTTCTGGTGGTGGTTGGCCATCTAATATACCTTCTAAAACAACGTCAACGTTTTGATCAATAATTTTGCCCATGACTGGAGAAATCCATCTTGGGGGTCTCGCTATACGTTTTGTAGATATAATATGCCGTTGTTGTTGTTGTTGTTGTTGATTTAAGGATTTAAATTGATTTGTAGAATCTGCTTGGTCACCAAAAATATAGGTTTTCTCACTAATGACAGGAGGTTCGTTGCCAATTTTGTGATATTCTTCGATTTTCTGAGTTTTTTGCACTTGTGGCTGGTCTTGGTTAACTTGCTTGAATGAATGCAATTCTTGTTTAACAGATTTGTGTTCTTCTACATGTGGCTCTTTGGCTCCTATTGTAGTTGACATTAGTTTACTAGAAGATGATGTAGATGATTGAGTTACGACTTCTCTATTCACTGAATAAGACGTTTCTACATGCTGCTTCAGATCAGTCGGTATAAACTGTAAATCTGATGAAGCGGATAATATTTTTTCAGGCAAAACAATATCCGAGGAAGATTGTATAGTTAATGAAGCTGCACAGCTAGCTTTGCCCGCTTCGTTTTCAGCTACGCAGGTAATGGTTCCTTGGTGCTCTGGCTTCAAACTAGGAATGCTCAAAACTTGCCAATCGCCTGACGTGGATATCAAAAAACCTTCACCCGCAATTGGGTTTCCGTTAAATAACCACTTAATTTTGGGAGTTGGTTTCCCAATAACAATACACTCAAACTTAGTGGGGGTATCTTCAAATGCCACTCTATCATTGAACAGTTCTTTGAAAACTGGAGCACTTTTCACTTCTTCATACGGTTTAGCAGTTTCAGCTAATTTTGAGGACTTTACTATGAGTTGAGCAAAGCATTTGGCTTCACCTGCAGGATTGAAAGCTTTGACAGTGTAAACTCCTTTGTCTTCGGCTCGTACGTTTTCGATTTCGATTTTGAAGTTGCCTTCCTGGTCGATATCGGTTTTGAAATGTTCTGTATCGGTTATGGGAATATTGTTTAGAAGCCATTTCAGATCTGGTTTGGGTTCACCAATGACGTTACCTAAAGATCAAAACAAATATAGTGAGCAAACATATGAACAGATCGGTCTCAAATATTATAGAGTATTTGTTTGTGTAATTATATTGGGTCCCAAAACAACACTTATAGCATTTTAAAAAGCAACAACTAATTGTAAGTATAAGGTGTTTATCATTTACCTTCAAAAGTAACTTTGTCTCCTTCAGCTGCCAAAATATCTGCAAGAAGTTTCACAAACTTAGGCGGAGTTCCACTGGGTTTTCCAGGAACCTCCTCTTCCTCCTCTTTTGGTTCTACAGAAAGTATACATTGACTAGAAGCTTCTCCAGCGGAATTGAGGGCAACGACTTTATATTCTCCAGCATCTTCTGGTAAAGCGTCCTGTATAAGAAGCGAGCATCTATCCCCTTGGAAAAGCAATTGAAAATCTGTAGATTCCTTTACAGGTCTACCATCGTGATACCAAATAACTTCCGGTTCGGGCTGGCCAACTATGACACAATCTAAACGAACTTTGTCGCCTTCCTTAGCTGTGGTGTTAGTCAGTGCTAGCTGAATAGATGGTTTAACTGGCTCCATATCGCTGGCTAATTCGCTGTCTGAGGTTTCGTTAGGTAGACGTCCTTTGACGTTAACAGTGGAGCTAGAAGAAGCTTCTCCGGCAACGTTTTGAGCGTTTACTGTGTAGGTACCTGCATCTTTGGGAAAGGCTTCTAAAACTACGAGGGTTGCTTTGTTTTTTTCGAATTGCAACTGAAAAATAACGAAAATTAATTAAACGTGAATGTTTGTTTGAATTAAAAGTAACAGTTTATAAATACTTTGCTTTTCTTGCCAAGGGAAATACAAATCTGACAAGAATTAATTAGAATTTATTTAGTGTTACAATATAGTATTTAGAGCGTTGAAGCAAAAGAGACAAAGGGGGGTCATTGTCGTTTTACCTTAATTAAGTACAATACGCCCACTAAAATGGAAACCAAAAATCCAAAATAAGCACCGTAATCTTCCATATAGAAGGAATCTTGACGGTCACAAGGCATTCTGCCAAAATTATCAATGAATTACAAACATTTGACGAAAAATTATGAATTATTTGTAATTTAGTAAAGCGATTAACACTAGCACGCTTCCAGACACAAAACCCGATAACCAAAGCTTGAGTTTTAGCCGGGAATAAAAAAATTAAAACCGAAATATCTTCAAAGTTAAACCTGTGCCAATACCGCTCGGAGCAGCCAAAAATAATTATTATCTTTTATAATATTAATTATATTGACTGGAACGAAACGGACTTTTAGTTAACTAATGTAGGTATATAAGAAGCCTTAATGAGGTGCTTTTTTCAATATGCAAACAATTTCAGTGCACTTCAATTAGTTTTAGGATAAGTATAACTATTACTTATTTAACTATTTAGAAGGAGCTATATTGAAAATTGAAGCTTGAAATATGGTTTCTTCTCATGTAAGTCTATAGGATTTTAGATATTTCTATGGATAAAAGGTAAATTTTTCTCTTATTTATTTATTTATTTATTTATTCAATACAGTATCAACAGCAGCAGTTTGCCAATTACAGATACCAGCCTAATTAAAAAATATAACATAAAAATATAAACATATTCACAACATCTTGACCTAGACACTAGACGCGACGCATTAAGTTTTGATAACTTTTATCTTTGATAACTTTACCAGTATGAAAGAATTAAACTAAACTACATTAAACATTTTCGTATCAACTAGTTTTTTAAACATTCTTTAATCAACATTATCAATGTCGATATTGGAAGCACACATTTTGTAAATCGGCGAATTCCTGTAGAGGTTTGTCTGAGGATGCATTAAATAAAAGACATAAGAATTAAGTGAATTAACACGATTCACTGCGAATGGCAATTGTCTTAGAATTTCAGGAGTGTCAATATCACCCTTAAGCAACTTAAAGACCGTAACAATTAGGATTCTAATTCTTCGTTTACTCAGAGACAGCCTACCAAAGATACCAAGGAGGTATTCACCGTCATACCCCCGAGGAGGATAGACTCCATATGCCCGATCATAAACGAACTTCAGAAATTTCCTTTGCGCCCTTTCGACATATGTTGTCCATAAGTCATATTGCGGTGACCAGATAATGCATCCATACTCCAAAATTGGCAAAACAAGGGTATCGAAAAGGTGCAAACTCACATCAATACCTATTCAAATTTTTGGTGTTTCTTGTTATGAAACCAGATATTTTCTGCGCACTGTCTATCTTCGGAGTAATGTGCTTAGAGAAGGATAATGACGTATCAAAAATGACACCTAGGACCTTTTGATTTTCGACTCTATGAAGCGGCGAACCATTAAGTGTATAGTCATGCTTGAGGCTGAAAGACATACAAGAACATTTAGCCATAATTATTTAATTTAAAATCATTTGTATTGCACCAAGAGTTCACGTTACAGAAATCATTCTGGAGAGTTTCGCATTCATCAGTAGAGTCTATTTGAAAAAAACACTCAAAATCGTCGGCTAAAAGTGAGGCTCTAGCCATCTCCACACTATTCACTGAATACATACTTCCAGACATGGATGATGTTGGTCTATTGGTAAGAGGAAGTCAACAGTTCTGTGAACTTGAACACTATCAAAAGATGCAATGACTAAGTCTAGAATAACATTATTGATGTTTCTGGTTGGATTAAATTGTATAAAGTCATTGAAAGCTAAAAACCACCTTAAAATATTTACCTAAACTATCATTACATGAATTCTCATTAATTTAACTCGGAATGTTAAAATCACCAATTATTTTGCAGTCCTAGTTATTCCGGATTAAATTGGATTTAATCTGCTCAGAAAACCTTTCATAATCTTCACTTGGACTATGGGGGACAAATTACACTACGACAACATTCAAAAATAAATTATGTATTAAGTTTAATTTGAATACACAACGCTTCTTGGTTGATATCAAATATCTTTAGTTCCGGTACCGCTTACAAGCCTTAATTGATAACAAAATTCCTCCACCCTGTTTCTTACCCAATGACAGCCAATTCCTGTTCTTTCTGTTAACCTGTTTCCAAAGCACTGGCGTAATTACAGGGGGGCCTAGCGGGGCCGGGCTCTCCCCAGACGTCGCTAGGCCCTCCCCAGAAAAAACTTTAATAATTTGCTATTTTATGAAATCTACGCTACCTATTATTTTCTTTACGAACGTGCGGAAAGTTACTTTTCCGGGTACATTTTAGGACATGAAAGTACCAGGGTGACCTAATAATTATTTTACTTTTCCGCATTAGTGCGCACTTTTCGCACGCTCCTAAAAAAATTAGATAGAAAAATACACACACATCCGGAAAAAAAAAATTAGGCTGCGGCGAGCTTCCCCCTCCCCTTATAAATAAATCTAGAAGTTATTATCTTGCACCCATGAAGACTTTCAAAAGTTGACGCCTCTGCCCCAGGCCCACCCTAGGCCCCCCCAGGTCAAATGGCTGGTTACGCCAGTGTGCCAAAGCTAAATTCCACAGAACCAATCAACCCACTTATAAAATTCATCCTTTCTTCTTGGACTTAAATTTAGGTGGATGAGTACCTATGTGTTTGCTGTCAATAACTCGGTAAATATATGCTTGAGCTATCAATCTCAAAATTTAGTTCAGCTTATAGAAAACTGAAAAGTTTTTCTTGCCAGAAATGTCTTCTGAATTACCTATTTACGCCGAATATTCTTGGGATATCTTACTGGCGTGCACTTGGCAGTCAAAAGTTAGGAGGCTGACTCCCGAGTCTACCCGAACAGTCAGTGGCGTCGTTTATGTTTTATTTTTATGTATTATAATTATGATAAAATTGATCCAGGTATTGAATGTAAACAAGAAAATACTGCAAATGTATCCAAAACATGTTTTTGAAAAATAATTGAAATATCAATTTTCCAGCAACTTGAGAACGGGACTTTCCACATTTTCTTCTCAACCAGGTGAAGTGAAAACTGCTTCTAGACACGATGGTTTTTTTTTGGGGCACCTCACTTGATTTGCAAATTGGTGCAAGGGTGGTTTCGGAGGGTAAGACAAAAAAAATTAAAAAGCGGAAATATCAATTTTTCAAAGAATTACGAGTCTTCCGACGTTTTATTCACAGCCGGACATTTCGAAACCTGTTCCCACACCACGGGCAAATTTTAGAGCACCTTACTCGACTTGAAAATGGATCCAAGGGTGGTTTTAGGGGGTGAAACCAAAAAATTTAAAAATTGTAAATATAAATTTTTTACAGAATTATGCGACTTGCGACATTTTCTTCACAACCAAATGTATTGGAAACTGTGCCGAGGCACCATGGGCACATTTAAGGGTACCTTACTTGACTTGCAAATGGATCCAAGGGTGGTTTTAAGTGGTAGAACAAAATAATTGGAAAATCCTAAATATCAATTTTTCACAGAAATACGTGTTTTGCGATATTTTCTACACAACCAGATGTATTGGAAACTGTGCCTAGGCACCATGGGGACATTTATGGGCAACTTACTTGACTTACAACTGGGTCCAAGGGTGATTTTTGGGTGTAAAACAAAAAAATTGAAAAACTAGAAATATTAATTTTTCCCAGAATAACGTGTCTTGCGACATTTTCTTCACAACCAAATGTATTGGAAACTGTGCCTAGGCACCATGGGCACATTTGAGGGCACTCTACTTGACTCGCAAATAGGTCCAAGGGTGTTTTTAGGTGTTAAAACAAAATAATTGGAAAATCAGAATTATCATCACTTGCATGGAAAATTAAATTGATTATTGTTTATTGCAAACTGAGGGAAATCGAAAAAAAAAATCGATGCGTGTTTTTTTTTTGTCCTAATGCGATTATTCCGGAAGTTATACAAATATTTAGTTTTTGTATATATGTCGTAGACATAATGCAAATTTGGGCTTTTTATAATTTGCCTAGGCGTTTTACAAAAAGCCGGCAAAACGCAAGCATAAAATGCTTTTTTCGTTATGCCGGCAACCATTTCAGGCAAACTGATAAAATGCCGGCGAAACAAGAACACAAGAATATATATCATGTTGTGACTGATTATTCTTGGGCATTTTACAATTTGCCAAAACCGGTGCCGTCAAAACGTGAAAAAAAAGTCGAAAATACTATTAAATACTGATTATTAAGTGTACTGGTTGACAAAAATTCAATATTAACATTTAAGGACATTCGTGGCTACAGATGAAAATGCACTTTGGCTCCTTCGATTTCGCGCGGTTATTCAAAAGAAAAACTTACCCGGTGACCGGTGAGTGCACTCAGTACATTCTCTAATTTTTTTTCGTATGTCACGGGCAATGGGCAATGTAAATAATATGGCATTATTAATAATGCCCAGACAATTTAATGAATGAATGAATGAATTAGAAGATATCATCACATTGTCCGGGCATTGGTCATTATGATTAATGCTGGAGTGAATTAGATAACTTCTTTGATTAAAATTGCAAACTAACCCAGACTAACCGGATTATTATCAGTAAGTTTGATAATCACCGACTAAAATTGCCAATTAATCCAAACTAACTGGGTCATTATCGGTAAGTTTGACAATGATAACGGACTGGAATAAAAATGCGTGTGTGTTTCTCGCACGCTGGTAGGAAAATCTATCACACATTCTACTACGCGGCAGTTCAATAACAGCTGTACGGAGTGCTCCAACCCAACTGTTCGAAGTAACAGTTCGCGTACTCCGAACAGTTGGGTTGGGTATTCCGAATAGTTGGTGTACTCGGAGTACTCCAACTGTTTGGAGTGAGCCAACTGACCAGAGTACTCCTACTGTTTGAAGTACTGATAAGTCGGAGTAATCTAACTGTTCGGAGTATTCCTACTGATCGGAGTACTCTAACTGTTCGAAGTACTCCTACTGATCGAAGTACGCCAACTGTTCAAAGTACCTCCAACTGTTGGGAGTACTCCCAGTACACAAACTATTCGGAATACTCCGGTTCCTCCAACTGTTTGAGTACTCCAACTGTTTGGAGTACTCCGAGTACCCCAACTGTTCGCACTACTCCAAGAGTTTGGGGTACATTGTCAAACTTACCGATAATAACCAGGTTAGTTAAGGTTAGTTTGAAATTTTATTCAGACACTACCAAACTTACCAATAATAACCCGGTCATCATTTATAATGCCGTGTGGGCAATCTGATATCTTTTGTATAATTCATAATTTTGTCATATTTCTTTGGGCACTTTCTAAATTGCCCGGGCATTAAATTTAATGCTCAATTATTAACATTGCTCGTAACAAAATACAATACCAAAAAAACACTACTACGAGCTGATTTTTCATTCGAAACTTGAAATGAGTCCGAACAGTAAACAAACACTCAAGTCATTAATTAGGTGGATTAGGTGGACTGGTTAGTTTGGGTTAGTTTGCATACTTCTGGTTAGTTTCGTTAAAGTTCGTTTATTACTGGTTATAAGTGTACTGGTTAATAACAAAGCGCGCAAAGCGGAAACGGAATGTGAGCGACAACAACGGATTTCAGATTTGTGATTAGCGACTAAAATTATACCTTCCTACAAAAAATCAACAAATTCGGAATATTCGGATTTGGTAATGGATAATAGATAATTACCCTAATATCTAATCAAGAAAATTCGACTTGTTTTATATCTATTCACGTTTTGACGGCACCGTTTTTGGCAAATTGTAAAATGCCAACAAATAATCAGTCACAACATGATATATATTCTTCTGTTTTTGTTTTGCCGGCATTTTATCAGTTTGCCTGAATTGTTGCCGGCATAACGAGAAATTCATTTTATGCTTGCGTTTTGCCGGCTTTTCGTGAAATGCCTAGGCATTTCAGGAAAAGCCTAAATTTGCATTATGCCTACGACATATATACGATATACTGAGCATGTGCGACGTCATCAATTTATATGATAAGTGGCATCATACGCAAATTTCATTGCGTTGTATCTCCGTCAATTTTTGACTAAGAAGAAAAACAAAAAACACGTGTTGACTTATTTTTTATCGACTAAGGAAATCAGCGATAGAAAAAATGTCACGAGACACATAATTCTGTGAAAAATTGATATTTCTAGTTTTTCAATTTTTTTAAAATTTTTACCCCTAAAAACCACCCTTGGACCCTGCAAGTCAAGTTAGGTGCCCTAGAATGTTTATATGGTGCCTGGCAACAGATTCCAATACATTTGGTTGTGGAGAGAATGTCGCAAGACACGTTATTCTGTGAAAAATTGATATTTACAGTTTTTCAATTTTTTTTATTTTACTCCTAAAAACCACCCTTGGACCCATTTGCAAGTAAAGTTAGGTGCCCGAAAATGTTCCTATGGTGCCTGGCAACAGATTCCAATACATTTGGTTGTGAAGAAAATCTCGCAAAACACGTAATTCTGTGAGAAGATGATATTTACAGTTTTTCAATTTTTTTTGTTTTACCCCTAAAAACAACCCTTGGACCCATTTGCCAGTCAAGTTAGGTGCCCTTGAATGTTCCTATGGTGCCTGGCAACAGATTCCTGTACATTTGGTTGAGAAAAAAATGTAGGAAGACACGTAATTCTGTGAAAAATTGATATTTCTAGTTTTTCATTTTTTTTTGTTTTACCCCCAAAAACCATCCTTGGACCCATTTGCAAGTCACGTAAGGTGACCTTAAATGTGCCCATGGTGCCTAGGCACAGTTTCCAATACATCTGGCTGTGAAGAAAATGTCGCAAGACACGTAATTCTGTAAAAAAATTGATATTTCTGATTCTCCAATTATTTTGTTTTAACATCTAATACCACCGTTGGAGCCATTTTTTGCAAATCAAGTAGCGTGCCCTTAAATGTGCACATGGTGCCTAGGCAGAGTTTCCAATAGATTTGGTTGTGAAGAAAATATTGCAAGACACGTTATTCTGGGAAAAATTGATATTTACAGTTTTTCAATTTTTTTGTTTTGCCCTAAAAACCATACTTGGACCCATTTACAAGTCCAGTTAGGTGCCCTAAAATGTTTATATGGTGCCTGGCAACAGATTCCAATACATTTGGTTGTGGAGAGAATGTCGCAAGACACCTATTCTGTGAAAAATTGATATTTACAGTTTTCCAATTTTTTTTATTTTACCCTTTAAAACCACCCTTGGACCCATTTGCAAATCAAGTTAGGTGCCCTTAAATGTTCCTATGGTGCCTGGCAACAGATTCCAATACATTTGGTTGAGAAGAAAAAGTAAGAAGACACATAATTCTGTGAAAAATTAATATTTCTAGTTTTTCATTTTTTTTTTTTTTGTTTTACCCTCGAAAACCATCCTTGGACCCATTTGCAAGTCAAGTAAGGTGCCCTTAAAAGTGCCCATGGTGCCTAGGCACAGTTTCCAATACATCTGGCTGTGAAGAAAATGTCGCAAGACACGTAATTCTGTAAAAGAATTGATATTTCTAAATCTAAAAATGTTCCTATGGTGCCTGGCAACAGATTCCAATACATTTGGTTGTGAAGAAAATGTCGCAAGATACGTAATTCTGTGAGAAAAAATTCAATTTTTTTGTTTTATCCCTAAAAACCACCCTTGGACCCATTTGTAAGTCAAGTAAGGTGCCCTTAAATATGCCCATGGTGCCTAGGCACAGTTTCCATGGTGCCTGTTAACAGATTTTAACACTTTCACGACCGCTATTATGAAATTTGACGATGCTCGAAACCAACCGCGTTTTTTTGGGTAGCAAAACTTTCGACAGAAATTATATATTTTTTACAGGTTATATGTGTTTTGTTATATATTTTTTGTAATAACATTCAATGTCACATATATGTGACATCGGTTTCCGATAAGTTTTCCATTAAAATTTACCAACTGTTACGATGGCAAACCGTGCGACACTCATGTGTGACATAAACTATTAGCTGTTCTAGACTCTCGACTACGCTGTATAGGCGATAATTATTGTTCAATATCCAGTGAGTGTTACCTTGTAACGTCAAACTCCAGTAGGAGAGTCTAGAAACAACAGAAATCCGCATTACTTGGGAGACGATATGAATCGAGATATGAACCACAGCTGCCACAAGCCTATGACTGAAACAGAATATTCAATCCTGAAACCATGCGACACAAATGCGTGCCAAACAGTCCTAGAAACTGACGGCAAAACACATCTGTCGCTGTTGAACCGCCCGGGAGTTATTTGCATTCAATCATTGTAGGGTCATTGTCACTCTTGTGTGACATCAGTTCCTGGCAAAAACTTCTTGTCACATAGGTGTGACGCGTGGTCGTGAAAGTGTTAATACATTTGGCTGTGAAGAAAATGCCACAAGACACGTAATTCTGTGAAAAATTGATATTTACATTTTTTCAATTTTTTGGTTTTACCCCCTGACCCATTTGCAAGTCGAGTAAGGTGCTCCAAAATTTGCCCGTGGTGTGTGGAACAGGTTTCGAAACATCCGGAAAAATTGACAATTTGGCTTTTTATTTTTTCTTGTCTTACCCTCCCAAATCACCCTTGGACCAATTTGCAAGTCAAGTAAGCTGCCCCAAAATGAGTCCATCGTATCCAGAAGCAGTTTTCACTCCACCTGGTTGCGAAGAAAATGTGGAAAGGAAAGTCCCATGCGTAAGTTTGTGAAAAATTGATATTTTAATAATTTCAATTCTTTGTTAGGTGTTATAATAGAAATTTGACATAATTGCGAAAGAAAATTGAAATCACTATTCTCTGTTAACATTCGTCTAGAGAAAAAATATTATAGGGCTTGCCAAAAAAAATCAGTGCAATGACTACATGTAGGTAGTCAAACAAATTCTATGCAAAATATGTTGAATCTAAAAATAAAGGAGTCAAGCTCAACTTACTTTGTTTATAAAAAAAACCAGAAGATCTATTTTAGTTGTAATTTTAAGTGGTTAAGTTTTTAATTCAGTCTGGCTTATTCAAAACTAATTCAGAAAAAATGCGAAAATTATTAACCAGAACTTATGACTAAGTTACTAGCAAATTATATTAATATATCTTATGATTAATGTAGTTTCAGATACTCCAAATATTTAAATTTTATTTTTAGCATTATGGCAATTTCCAAGGTTAATAATGATTTTTCCAAATTTCAGTTGTTTAATTTTATATTACTTATAATGATTTCTGTTGGAAAAAAACGACTGCCTAAAGAGCCTAAGATTTGTAAAAAAAAAAAATAAGGAAAACAAAAACTATTAACTTTCATTTACTTCTTAAAAAGGTCATTAAAACGTAAGAAAATTTATGGAAACTTGAAACTTGTGTTTGTTTAGTAAAGCAGGTTAAAAACCATCGAAAGTAGAAAAACTCATTGAAAACTTACCTTAGTTTCTCTCGTTTCCCTCACAGCTTTTCCGTTGTGCGACCAGGTCAGAATCGGCGGAGGCAGACCCGAAACTTCACACTCCAATTTTATTTTTTGGCCCGCCCGAGCCATCACGTTTGATAGCGGAGTGGTAAAAACAGGAGCCTCTGCTGGTTCCAGGGCTAAAATAAGAAAGTTTCTCATCAGTTTCTTTTATTTTTCAAGTCATTAGGCTCTTGAATTAGTTGAAGGTGCTTAAAATGTGGGATTTTCAACTGATTTTTCCGTAAGTACAAATCGTCAGTTTGGATGGATCCGGAAAACAATGTTTAAAACATTAAATTTGCTCTATAATATCAAATTGATCAATAACTAAACTAAACCTTTCTAAGCCCAAATATCCAAGTTTAATTTTCTTCTAGTATACCTAGAGTAAAACCATCATTTTCAAAATTCTGTTTCTAAAAATAAAACCCCAGCAATGCGATTTATTCCCAGAGAAATGTAATTTTAGATGTTATGATTACATTACAGATTACTCCTACAGTATTTGCATAATTTGCCAATTTACCTCACTTTTGAAATATTTATTAAATCAAAATTCAAGTTGAAAAAGCCTAAAATTGAATTTCCTTTTATACGAGTTCAACGTTCCTTTCAGACTGTGGTCGTGCCGATTGACACAAAAATATGCTAAAACAGCTTCCCGTATATTATTTTAGGAAGGATTATTTTAGACAAAACGTGTGGAATAATAGATGTGACCTCGTTAAGGGTATTTTTGAACTGAACTGTAAATTGCAGACACATCGTTTACACCTGGATATGTGTGTTTGTTTAGAGAGACTTGCTTGTTATTATATGTTCATTTATTTGTAACAAAGCTTTTGAAGCTGTGTGTTGTGCTTCTAAAAAGGTTATCAAAACGATTTTAAAATTCCCGCCCATCTTTGACCTAATCTAACAATAAACTATTCTTACCTGTTACAATCAAATTTGCTGTGCTCTGCGCAGTCCCCATCTCATTGGCAGCCTTACAACTATACTCAGCTTTATCATCCAAACTAATCTCTTCCATCTTCAAAATAGCCTCACCATTATTATAACTAATGCTATAATAAGGATTATTATCGATACAATCACCATCTTTGAACCACTGCACCGTTGGTAAAGGGTTGCCTTCGACTTTGCACTGAAACTGAAATGGCTCTCCTTCTTTTGCGACTCCCGGTTCAAGCATTTTCACAAAACTAGGCGCAACTAGTTGTTCATCTGGTTCAGTTTCTTTGACAGTTAACATGGCAGAAGTTTCAACCGTCCCGTGTTCATTGGTAGCTTTGCAAGTATATTTAGCAGAGTCCTCTGCAAATGTTTCTTCGATGGTTAAAGAACAAATTCCATTTTCTAATGATGTATGATAATCTGGATTATTTTGTATAGGCACTCCGGATTTGAACCATGTGACATGTGGTATTGGGTTACCAGAAACTTGGCAAATAAAGTTGAATTTAGAGCCTTCTTGTATCACAGCGTCACTAAGTGGCGTAGTAAACACTGGGGACTCTTGTGGTTCTTCTACCATGGGGCTTTTTTCTTTTTGGAAAGATTCTACCATGTGAGTTTCTTTGATTTCTATTATTTGGACTGAATCTTCTATTTTTTTCTCTGTTTCAACTTTCTTTTTCTCTTCTTCCAATCTGGCTTGTTCAGCTTTTACTTTTTCTTCTTCTAGCCGCAGTTTCTCCGCATCTAATTTATCTTGTTCCACTTTAAGTCGCCTCTCTTCGCTAATCTTTACTTCTTCGATTTTGCGTTTTTCTTCTTCAAGCTCTTGAGCTTGTTCTGCTCTGTGAGCTTCATCCCTCAATCTGTCTTCTTCAAGTTTCCTTCGCGTTTCTTCTTCAGCTTTTTTAGCTTCTTCGAGGAATTGAGTTTGTTGCAATTTCAGTTGTTCGACTTCGAGCTTAGCTGCTTCAACTTTTTTAGATTCTTCCGCTAATAGAGCTTCTTGTTCTTTATGGCGGTGTTCAGCTAATCTTGCTTCCTCAGCTAAACGTTTCTCTTCAGCTAAGCGTTTTTCTTCGGCTTGTTTCGCTTCTTCGGCCAATTTACGTTTTTCGGCTTGAATGCTTTCTTCAGCCAAACGTTTTTCCTCAGCTAATTGCGCTTCGTTGGCTCTCTTTCGCTCTTCTGCTAAACGAGCTCCTTCAGCTAATCTTTTTTCTTCAGCTAGAAGCCGTTCTTGAGCTAGACGTTCCTCTTCAAGCCTTCTTGCTGCTTCAGCCTTTCTAGCTTCTTCTTGTTCTTCAAGTAATTTTTGCTTCTCTTGTTCAGCTGCAACCAAATTCTTGGAAAGCTGCGCTAGCTCTTTACTTATTGAGATAAACGAATCAATCATCTCTTTATTTCCTGTTATCACGGGAGCGTAATTAGTTTCATTTTGGCCATAAATTTGTCGGGCCAAGCTTGAAATTTCTTCAATTCTTTCAGATTGTTTAGCTTCGCCAGGCTCGAGGAACAACTTTATTTCTTGTAGAAGTTCCTGGGCTTCTTCAGGTTGTTTTACCGATGTTGATTTGCGAGCTGTAGCAACAAGAAGCTTACTTCCTTCCTTAAACCATTCATTAGCCTGAAGAAAAAAAAAATATTTTTTAAAAAATGAATAAAATGCTTAAATTGTTTAGCGTTTACCTCTTCAACTAACTCGAAATATTTAACATTTTTATCGAGAATTTGCTTAGTATCATTAAGTTGATTTTTGACTTCGTTCCATTGAGATTCCACTTCATAAATATCATTTTGAATTTGAGGAGTTTCTGCTGGACATTCTTCTTGTAGTTTTTCACCAATGTCGTTCAATTTTATTATGCGGAGTTCTAGTGTCTAATAGAAATAGAAAAAAATGGAAATGAAGCAGTGCACTAAAAAATAAGATATTTTTTACTCACCTCCATAACTCTAGTAAACTGTTTAATGTTATCACTAGCAGCTTTAGAAGCACTTAACGAATCTCCAGCCTGGCTTCTTATTTCAATGACTTGAGAACTAACTTCCTTGATACTTTTCCTAATTTCATTAGTTTCCTTACTGAATTCACTTACTTTTCTGTAAGTTTTGAGCACATCGTGTGTTTGGCGCCACTGATTCTCGAATTCTGATCTTCTAAGCTCTATGACATGTTGCAATTTCTCAATGTCTTGCTGAGCTGCCTCAGACGGCTCCTGTTTTCGGATTCTCTGTTCGATTTGCTCACATTCAGTCTGGGCAAATCTAAAACGTTCTAAAATGGTTTCCCTTGTTACTTCTGAGTCTCTGAGTATTGTTTCTATTTCTTGCAAGGCTTTGGGTGGTTGGATTTTTTGTAATTGAGCATTATGGTTTTCAGCTTTTTTGTCTATTTCTTCTAGGTTTTTGAAATAGCCAATAAGAACCTGGAAATGAAGGAGATAAAGCAATGTTTTTTTTTAAATGCATGCATACCTGTAATAAAATCTGATATTCCGAAGCAATTTCCACCAATTTTTGGCTCAATTCGTTTAGTTTGCTTTTTACAGCAACAGTTTTTTCATCTGTGGCTCCAGCTTTAGCAATCAACTCCTCAGCACTCCTAATTTTTTGACCAACTTCGTTCTGCGCTTTCCGAATATCGGGAAGTACAGTTTCCAATTTTCCTTCTAGATGCACTACAATTTCACTGGGCTTTGTCGATGGCGTAGTTATTACTGGATAAAGTTGCGAGTCTAGTTTGGATACCCAGCTGATTGTCTGAAAAAAATAGTTCAAGAAATGTACACAATATTTGTGGTATCTAGGTACATAAAAAAAATAGTAGATAGTTATTTTTAGGCTTGAATCGAAAATAAGAACAGTCTTCAGAAGAAGTAAAAAAAGCTGAATAAAACAGGAATTGTTAAGTTACGCCACAAGTGATTGCATCTGCCCCATCGTAAGTAGACAAGTTTTCGAAAGCATTTTCTAGATTTTATTTCGTACTTATCATCATTGCAATTTCTTCAGTGGATGATTGTCTCAAGCTTCAGTCAGACCTGGAGAGACTCGATACGTGGTGTGATCGGAATACAATGGAGTTGAATATTGCTAAATGCCATTCCATAGGCTCCACTAAAAAGCGCAGGGAAACAGAATTTTCCTATAGAAATAAAAGGGGCGCCATTGTCCGAGGTCTCAGTCATTCGTGATCTTGGAGTTAACATGGACTCCACCTCGGATTCCACACTATCCTTTGTCAACCACATTGATACCATGGTTTCTAGAGCTCTAAGTATGCTTGGTTTTATCAAGAGAACTGCATCTGACTTTAATAATGTGTCCGCTATTCGACTGCTGTACTGTGCCCTTGTCAGGCCATTAATGGAATATTGTTCGCAGGTTTGGAGCCCTCATTATGCATGTCATATGCATAGACTGGAACAAGTACAGAGGAAGTTTCTGAGATATCTGGCTTACAAATCAGGGATTCCACCAATTGATGAATACACTTATTATTTTAATTTACTCCAAGTGAGATTTGGATTGCCAGCATTGAAGGTTAGGAGGGATCATGCTGACCTTAAACTTTTGACTGTCCTACTACCTGATAGCCAAAGTCAATCTAGCTCACGTCCCGAATCCCCTCAAGAATCCTTACATCCAGATAACAATGACAGTAACACTCCTATTCATGGTATATCAGATATTCGCGCAATCATTCCGGAAAATTTTGATGGCGATCGCACTTTACTCTTTGATTTTTTACAAGACTGTGGTCAAGCATGTGGAGTCTTTGTCGCTGCCCTCAAAAAATTCTCATCATATCTTACATGGAATCTACACTCAAAGGATCCGCACGCACTCAAACTAGATTCAAAAAATTCTATCATTATGATTAAATTCGAGAATGTTTAATTGAACTATTTGGCGATCGACGAGATTTTTCTCAAATCTTAAAAGAATTGAATACGTTAAGGCAAAGTAAAATGGAATCAGTGCAGTTATTTTAATCGTATAGAAACCCTACAAACACTGGCTCTAAATGCCTCTTCTTTCCAAAATCACAATGAATCAGTAGGTAGAATCGCTATAATAAAGGAAATTTGCAACGGTTCATCCTCCACTCAAACGACGATATTTCTAGTTGTTTACGAAGAGCTAAACCCAAAAATATTAATGACGCGCTCACAGAAGCGATCATAGAAGAAAAACATTTGCTTGCCAGGAGGTCCAAATATGTCAGCAATTCTTTTGAAAAATATTGCAGTAACGGTAAAAAGGAAGGTCCATTCATTCGAAGAGTGTTATTCTAAAAGTCGAAACACCGTTCATTTTCACACCTCCAAAAACTCCTGTGCAGATCCTTCTACTAATTCAAATTATGAAAGTAAATTCTGTAACTGTAAGAAAAAGAAAAAAGGTCATATTATTACTGAATGTCGCAAAAGGTAATATAATAATAAAAGAAGAAATTCAATGTCCAATCTAAATAATCAGCAAAATCAGTCTTTAAACGTCAATCATTCCACAGTGAGTGTCACATTGCTGGACTGAATAAACAAAATTCTGGCACATCTCAAACTGAAAATCAATCTCAAACTCAAATATTTACAGAAACGAACGCATTCTCATATACTTTTATCTGCTACATTTATCTACCTCATCTCGATATCAATAGAAATCTCTTCAATTTCAAACTATTGTTAGACACTGGTTCTAACGTCTCGTTAATTAAAACCTCTAAACTGAGAAATACCAGTTTGTTTTATAATCCTTCAGAGGAAATGTCATTGAACGGTAATGGGCTCTATGGTAATGGGTATGAATCCCAATGCAGCTGTAAAAACTGTAGGCAGCACATTTTTAGAGATAAAATTGCAAAATATTACTATCAAGAAGATATTTCACGTCATCCCAGAAAACACTAGTATTCCGTTCGATGGATTATTTGGCAACGATTTTTTGAAATCCGAGGACGCTAAATTAAATTATAAAACTCTCGAACTGAAATTAAAATGTTCTTCATTACCAATAAAAATGTTTCTTGACTCGAACTGAAGGCTGAAGCAATGACAATGTAAATTGTAATTATATCATACAGCCGCGATCTGAAACCATAATACGCATCATAAATGTTGTCAACGGTATCCAAGTAAAAGAAGGCTACTGTTGCGATGCAGTAATTTTAGAAGGAGTTTACTTAGCGAAAGCTATTTCAAAAGTTGATGAAAACAATAAGGACTGCTGTAACTACAATCGTAAACACTTTGGAAAAAGCCGTGCAAGTAAACTTTATCAACATGGAACTCGAGAAATTGTCATAAATCTGAAATTTCAAACCAAATTGAAAAAATGTTGAAACAGAAGATAATTCAACCATCTGTTTCCCCATATAATGCATCACTGTGGGTGGTACCTGAAAACAATGATTCGTCAGGACATCGCCAATGACGGATTGTAGTCGATTTCAGGCGCCTTAATGATGTCACTGTAGGCCAAGTTCAGCTAATTCCAAATATTGACGAAATTTTAGAGCAGTTAGGACATGCATCTTATTTCACAGTTCTGGATCTAGCCTCAGGCTTCCACCAAATCAAAATGGATCCGGAAGATACACCAAAAACTGGTTTTTCTACGCCTAATGCACATTATGAGTTTTTAGGAATGCCATTTGGACTTGAATGTGCACCAGCAATATTCCAAAGATTAATGAATATGGTTTTAACCGGACTTCAGCGGACAAACTCATTTAAATCATTTTGATAAACCATCTCCTAAGGATATATTTTACGCTCTTCAAAACCTAAAGGTGAAAATCACTGACACAAATACTCCTCTCTACTTAAAAAATCCAAGATATTGCAATCCTACTATTAAACACGTTATACTAAATGAAATAATTTTCTACGTTTTTGATAATGATCAAAAAATCATTCTGGTAGACTCAGATAAAATTAAGCCGAATACGAAAGAAGGAATTGCCGAAATTTTAAAGGGAAATCATTCTACCTCTCGTACTGGTCATTCCGGATTTAGCAAAACTTACTGACGGATTAAGGAAGTTTATAAATGGCCCAAAAGATATCAGAACGTTCATAAATAAAGTAAATCGTCATTAAATGCAAGTTACTTCTACGTCTAATTTTCCATCTTCTTAGATATTGTAGGACTACCAGTAACAGAAGCAAGAAATAAGTTTATTTTAACACTGCAGGACGACCTTTCAAAATTCTCATACGCATTTGCAATTCCCAATCATGAGTCAAAAACCATTGCCGACAAGTACTGTGAATTTATTCTAATTTTTGGATTACCAAAAACTATTGTAACAGACAATGGAACTGATTTTACGTCTAATCTACTCAAGGAAGTTAATAGTACTTAAGAAGTATATTAGGTACCACGTCAGTTTATGGACCTCAAATCAGTGGAGCCTTAGAACGCTCTCATTCTACGCTAAAAGATTATTTGAAGCATTCACTAAGACAATTGGGACGAATTTATTCAAACTGCCATGTTTTCGTATAACACTCTAGTTCGTTCAACTATATACTCAATTTACACCATATGAGTTAGTGTTTGGCCATAAGGCAACATGACCCAATAAAATAACAAAAGACCCAGAACTCCACTACACGTATGATACCTATAACAAACAACTTAAGGTGAGATTAAATAAATCGTTTCGTTTCAAATTGCGCTAAGCAGAAACATTATCAATTCTAAAATGAGATCCAAAACCTACTACGATAAAAAAAAAATTAATGATTTACATTTTTCTGTAGGCAACCAAGTTTATGTCCTAGATAAAGCTTCAAAGCCCGGAATAAGTAAAAAACTTTCCTCGAATTACAAACCTTTACAGTCAGTTCTCTTAAAAATAAAAAATAAGCTAGTTTCGTATCACAAGGACTTATTAAAACCATTTTTTTCATACAAAAATGAAGCTGATACATTACACGCTAGGTACTCTTCCCATAATTACAATGGTCGCGCCCACCTATCGCATACGGAGGAGCAGGCTTATCAAATAACACTAATTGATAACCAAGCAGGCATCTTTTACCAATCTCTAGGGACTTAAAAAAATACAATGATGATTTTACTCTCCTTTCGTTTTCAAATCTTTCCTTTTCCATTCATAAATTCCGATTTGTGGAGAAAATATATGCAAAATCAAAAAACATAAATGTCATGATTCCAATCTTGGAAATAATAAAATATAAGTGCATAGCTTCCATTGCACGGATTCGCTCGCTTTGTTTGATGCTCAAATTAAAACATTAGAAAAGAAACTTGATACTATTATTCATTTAGTCACTCATGGTTGAAAACCAAATGTAAACGCTGAGGTTTAATAAACGGAGTTTCAACTGCATTTAAATGGTTGGTCGGTACACCAGATGCAGACGATGCAGTTTATCATAATGACGCAAATAATTCTTTGAAAAATAAAAATCACGAGACTCAGATATTATTGCAACAACAAATAAAAGTAATGTGCAATTGAAAATTATAGTAGTTCTGTTGTTTCTTCAAAATTAAATAAAGAAAAATTAAATAACAATTTCGAAAAATTCAATAAATTTAATGACCAGCTAGAACACAATTGACCGAGATTCCGTATGTGACTTCAGTAATGGAACATATTAATGTATTATTTCACATTATAACTGAATTAACTGAAGAATATTATTTGATGATTTCTTCAATACTTTTTGCCAAGCAAAATGTTATTCACCCAACTGTAAGTAATCCTAAAGGTTTGAGAAATGAACTTCTCGAGGATAAACTGGATTCAGATTTACTTTTCCAGTCAGTTTAAAAAATGATGAAGATACCTAGAAGTATTTTCTATTTGTGATCTAAATGTTATTTATAATAATGAAATTTTAATATTCTCAATTAAAATACCGCTTACTTCTAGATTAAGCTATCATTTATACAAATTATTACCGCTTCCTGTTTTCGATCCTAAGGGCTCGATTTATACATTGATCCTACGTACCCTAATCCTAAGTACGAGTAAAACTAGGTGTGCTTCGATAAAAGACCTGTCTAGTTGCAAGAAGATCACGACAAGACTCAGTTATGTAAAGATTTGATAACTTAACTCACTGCCGAGAACGGAAATCGTGAAGTGAGCCTGAAACTCAATCAAATCAAACAGATTTGGAAATTTACCACAACATTTCCCAGAATCAATGGCTGTTCATTGTCTCTTCACCTGTTGCAGCAACTCTGCCATGTCATGCCACCGAGAACTTCATAGACTTAACATTGACGGAATCTGGCATCTTGAAGCTGAAGCTTCATTGCAAATGTTTCACTCTTTCTACTGTTCTGTCCTCGACTTCAAACCAGACAAGCAACTTCACCCATTTCGTTCCTGACATCAAAATTAATATTGACGACTGCTGTGTCCAAGAAATCGAACAAATGAAGAAGATATCTATGAATCCAATTCATCTAAATAACATAGATCTAGATGAATTACGTCATGCAAAGCACAAACTGGAAATGTTCGAAAGTTCGAAGAAACTTTGCACCATGAAAGCAATAAGCTATTTGATTCCGGATATCACCCAATCTTCAACACCATCCTATCTGTAGCAATCATCTTCATAATCTTGATTGCAATATGTTGCTGATGTTCCAAGTACTGCTGTAGCCTAAGGCTGTAGCTGTAAATAGATACCTTATTTTGGCCAATTTTTCCCTGCAAAAACGGTTGCACATGGAATCAGTATCTACAGTCATGATTCATCGATATCCAACAGCAACATCTTCTTGAATTCTAATGAGCCTGTCATATTTTTACAGCAAATTCCAAGAGCTCGACAAGAACCAGAAGCACTCGAGTTGAAAGCAGTTGTTGGTACAACTAACAAACCCAGATGATACTCAGCAATACCGAAACCCTGTGATGCCAAGAGGGAGACGATCAATTTCCAAAGGGAAATAAAATCAATCAAATCAACCTATTGATTAATCTTAACGGGGGAGGAATATGTTATGTTACGCCACTGCTTTGCTGCTCTACTGTCGCGCCACTGACCTTCAATGAGGCTACCATGCTGATTAAGCATTCCGCTTACTCAGCATAATTATTAAGTTTCCATTAAATTGATGCCAAGAGACTTGTTTCTTCTCCCTAAATAAAAGAACTTAACAGAATACTGTCCATTGTATGAGGGATGTTTGAGGTATCAAAGCTATTTCCACTAATTTTATTTTTACAACAGGATACTTCCTATAACATCTGTTTTTAATTAAAATCGGCGTTGCATTAATTTTTGTTTTGATGTAATTTTATCGACCGGAAAGAGAGACAAAAAAAATGCTTATGTTAACGCTATAGGAATGAAAAAATTGAAGAGAAGTATCGAGAAACTGCTGAGAAAAAGTCGTAGTAATTATATCTGACTGAAAAAAAAAACTGTTTGATTGAAGATTGAAGCAAAAGTGAAGCACCCAAATTTCAACTTCAATAGTTTTAATCCTCAAATAGCTGAAGTTGAATGTAATGCACACGATTGAGTTTTTAATTCAGCTCAAACTTTATTTCCAGCATGTTTCAAGAAATCACCAATAATCATTCAAAGACAAGAGTAGAAGCTTTAAAGGAAAAGTGTAGGTACTTACCTTTGTACTTTCTGCCATTGTCTTCTCCAATCTAATAAGGATTTCACGTTTTTCGACCACCTCGTCACGGAAGGATTGCCAGGATTTCGTTACATTCAATTGCCGTCCCGAAAGACGTTCCAACACGGACTCGACGCACTTACGGGCACGCTGGGCGTCGAGATGAGGCTCAGAGATCTGGAAATAAGATGGGAATTATTCCGATTTCCATTCCATGTAAGATATATTTAGATTATAATGATGAAGAATATAAAGAGGGACATGAAATTTACGAGAAGTACTTCAGGCACTCTGAAAATAGACTTTAATTTTAACCATTTTTAAAGGGGCGTTGAGGATTTAATGGTTTGTTGTGTATACAAGCATCCTTTAACTTTTTTTTTTGTCTAAGAAATCCTTTTAAAAAGTTACATAATATTTTAGAAAACAATATATTGACATTGGCGTTAGATTAATCTTGGTCGAATGTATTTGGAGATACGCCAATTCAGATAATTTTATTATTTTTACAAAACATTTTATAGCCTGGCCTGGAGACAAACAGCATATACACCACTTTTATTACAGCATCGGTTCGGTCATTTTTAAAAATATTTTTGCCAGTGTTGCTCTTTTCTCAAAATGTAAATTTTCTACATACAAAAAAACCTGATTGGAGATTGAAGAAAAGCCTAACAAACTTCTGAGTTCTAGCAAAGTGAATTTGAACTCTTTTTAAAAAATAAATACAACCAAATTAAAATTGGGTTTCATACGATAAGACTCAAGCAATAACCCTTGAAGTATCTGAATGAGAAAAATAAAACTTGGTTGACGAGCAAGGATGAGCTTCAAAGGGCTTGGAATATAAGAACGTAAGACCTACGTTTAGAGACAAAGCAGAAGAATGTAAAAAAGCTAACAAAACACAATAAACTGAAGCACAACGTCTGGCTTAAGCAAAAATTTTGGCAAAAAAGCTGTAAGCCATTCCCACTAAAATGTATTATCAACAAGTGCGCTGAATTCCCTAAAAGGTAAGTCAAGTACTTACAAAAAAATTATCACCCTATTGTATCCAACCTACTACCGCTATCTGGGTATCCCAAAACTACACTGAATAAAATCCAGATGAAAAGATGCAGAGACATATAATATAAAGAAAATAAATTTCCAAAGCTTGGGAAAGCTGCGTGGGTTCTAGGATCTATTTTAAATCAATCGAGGATTTGGTTAGTAGACATTGTATTATTCTGGAACTTGTGTCTGTGCGAATATAAAAAATTGGATGTCAAAAGAACACAACATAACAACTGTTGGCTATCAGCTCAAAATAGTATATTTTCATTATGTGGGTCGGGTTTTCCCAAACTATATTAAAGTGAAATATCAGAAATATAATATAGAGTTATTAGTTAGCTTCCTTCAAGCGTACACATTGTAATTTCTAATCACCGGCACTTCTCGACAACGTAAAAGCTTTCCAGTTTTGGCAACAAAAAAAAATAATTTAGAAAATGCATTGCGGGAAAGAAATTATATCTTAGTTTGAGTTGGGGGACCACGAAGAAAAACAAAGGCCCTCTCTGGTGTCTAAATATTTTATCGTAATTTGAGGACAAATTCCAACTCAATCAGTATTATTATTATCCAGCTGCCTCCAACATTCCAAACAAATAATATTTTCGCACCCAAATAATAATAATACTGCTTGAGTAAATAAGGTCAAATATTCATAAATCTGCTGTAGTGTAATGTTTAATACTATAATTTTTGTAAAATGAAAATAGACAATAGTTCACAAATTAAATCTTATGGGCAAACTGCCAGAACATCCGATTTCCATCACTGCTATTCTGGAAATTTTGATGCAATTATCCCACTCACTAGATAGAACTTGAATATATTCTATCTAGTTTTTATGGCATTGTTTGGGAGAATCTTTCACACTTATCAATATGATAATGTTTACTATGTACTTCGGCTTTAACTATATAACTATATATGATGGAGAATTCCTCTGACCCTGCCAAACAAATATGTATGTAATTATGTAAATTCCTCTAGCAGTTTAATGCTCGATAGTTAACTATATTGTTACTACTTGTTACTTGCTTCGAACATACTTATACATTATGTTGGTTTAAATTTAGAAATATCCTGATAGTTGTGGCATTCCGTTCTGTAAAATGCAAATTTTGAAAAGAAAAATAATAATGTAATGCATTTTCAATGAGGTAAAAAATCATTGAAAATATACAGTTGGGATTTGGTCAATGCGAGCAAATACTATCCAAAATTGTGGAAATACAAATATGTACTAAACTTACCCTCTTGGATTCATTAATAAAAGTCAACCCAGTATTCTTAGCAGATTGATAAAATGGTAGCAAAGATTCGAATTTTTCTTCAATATACTGCATGGTTTCTTCATCAACGTATTTTCTGCCTCTAATTAATTCTTCAAGAACATCCATTTCACTAAAAAAATAAATAAAAATAGAAATAGAACTTTCAGATACAGAACTATCAAATTTAAGCAGTAATCATAACTGCTTTGATATGTACCTACAGGGTTATCCAACGAAAGTGCTTTTTACATTATATACCTGTTAATTGAAGAGATACAAAAAAAATTTAAATATAAAAGTTGTTGGGATTTTTATGAGGAAATAGGAGCATTATTTATAAAAAAATGGCAAGTTGGGTTTAGAAAATGTAGCAAAAAATGTTATACATTTCTTGCTTAATTTAAATGAAATTAACCATTTTTGAATATGTTTTTGGATTCTACATTAAATTTGAGCCCTGATATATTATGTTACATACAGTTAAAGTTAGCAATCTTGGAGATATCGCTAATCAATGATTTTTTAAAATAAATTACGAAAAAAATTATATTTCATTGTTGGAAGCTGGTAATAGACCGTGAGATAGGGCCTGTATAGTGGAGTCATCTTTTTTTGTCTGGCATTTTGAGGGATGAATGTGGCTAGTTAGCTGATGAGAATATAGGTGGTTTTAGTGCTTGCCACCTGTTCGAAATGTCAACAGAATGTTTCGCCGGAAAACTCGACTTCGAACTGGGATTACCGTCTGGCGATTTTTTAGCGATATTTTCACAGCAAAACCTTTCATTCTCTCGATTACCAGACAAAAAGTAAACGCGAAAGGTTCTTTTCTTTTCTCTTGGAAGTTGACACTCATCCCCACTTTTTCAGCTATTGAAAAGCATCTGGTATTTTTTATGGGTGAATTATTTATCAATGTCAATCTTTTACTTAGAATCCAAAAAATTTGAGATCATTAAAAAAAAATTCCTCATGTAAATCAATTTTTTTCTTCTGCAAATTTTCGAACGGGAGGCCGGCATTAAAATCACCCACATTCTCATCAGCTTAGTAGCCACATTCAGCCCTCAAAGTGCCAGACAAAAAAAAATTACTCCCCTAAACAGGCCCTATCTCACAGTCTATAAGAGTGGTAAGTTCCCGTCTAGTCTTGCTTATTACTTCTGTTTTTAATTATTATATTGGAAATGGGTCCAATATTAGATCAAATTAATATGCTAAATTCTGCTTTGATTCAGCATCATTGGGTTCACCTTTTACTCAATTTACCTTGGTAAAAGATGAACCAGATGAAGCTGGATTCAAGCAAAATTTTGCATATTTGATCTAATATTGGACACATTTTCTATACAATAATTACAAACAATAGTGATAAGCAAGACTAGAGGAGAACTTACCACTCTTACCAGGTTCAAACGATGAAATATAATTTTTTTCGTGATTTATTGATTAGCGATATCTATAAAATTGACAAATTTAACTATAGGATATGTAACATGTATCAGGGCTCAAATTTAATGTCGAATCCAAAAACCTATTCTAGAATGGGTCATTCTATTTGAATTAAGCAAGAAATATAAAAGTTTTTGCTATGTTTTCTAAAACCGACTTTCCATTTTTTTTATAATTATGGTAGAGAGAAGTTGCGGGTTAAGGACGAAGTGGAATAAAACTTCCTTGTTTACAAATTCGCTGACGTTTCGACCTATTATTTAGGTCTTTATCAAGGCTCTTTATATAACAGAAGTTTCCGAGTCAAAAGGCTCACAATACAACTCCATGATCACAACAGAACAAACGCGACAATAATTTTCCAACATTTACATTTAAAATTAAAATAAATTAAAAGTTAAAACACGCCAATTAAAATTTAAATAACAAATGCATATGCAAACCAAACGAAACACAGACAGTCTGTGTTCCGTATTATTTTATAAGGAATACGTAGATGACCATTTTTAGAGTCAATATTGCATTTATAGTCACGTTTTGTTATATCTGCATATCTACCTTTGAACAATATCAGCTTCCATATGAAATTTGACATAAATCCTAGCAAGATCCAATCGATTTTCCAACAAACTCTTCAACTTCATCCATCGGTTATGAAGCCCCTCTACTTTCGAATCCACATCTCGTCTTTGATTTTCGTCTAGATATTCTAAGATTGGAGGTAAGGTGAGCAGCAGCTGATTAATTTCGTTTCCTTTGGTCTGAAATCAAAAACAGCCTTTAGTAAACGAATAATTTGAACATTATTACTGACCTGCAAATCGTTCTGCAACTGGCCATGCAACTGCAAGAAGTCCTCCGCTAGCCTCAAATCGCTACCCATATCCTGGTGGCCTTGCAAAAAGGCTTCAGCTATGGTAACCAACCAGTCATAAATTTCATTGTGCCTGTCCAAGAAGTTATTCAGAGCTGCCGTTACTCGTTGGTTTTCTTCTTTATGAGCTGTACAAAGATTCTCCAGAACAATTTTCGTGTTTTCCAATTCCTGAACCATTTTCTTTATACCTTCTGCGCCTCCTGAATATCCAACCGAATCCAAAATAGCATACCCCTCAGCAATGGGAGCGGCAGTTGACTCTTCAATTGTCCTGGCACATTGAGCGTGAAGGTCTGCAAGCTTTGGTGAATTCCTTGGGATTTCTGTGGTTTTCAATTGGATTTCTAGCTGATCAAGTTTATTTAGGACACTGTGTGAAGTTCTAAAGAACGCTATTACTCTTTCCAATAAGGATTCTCGTTGCTGTAAGTCGTTCAAATAATCGGACGTCGATGACAAAATAATATAAGATTGTTGAGTAGCTTGTTCACCAGCATAACACCCAGAAGCCACAAGCTGTTCTGTGGCCTTAGTAATTTTCAGAGCGCGTTCTTGAAGTTGCTTAGCTTCTGGCAACAATTTTCGGTGTTCGTGTAAAAGCAGTTCAGCACTAGCTGACGAATCGCCAAGCTGATTACTATTTGCAAGCAAATTTCTTCTATTATGTAAAACACTATCCAATTCTTTGAGATCGGCTGCTAACATGGCAAGAGCCAAACATTGCTCCAACTGAGTTTTTCTTCTGGAGTATGTCACTTCTAGGATTTGTCTTTTGATGTGTAATTCGTCTAGCCAGCCTTGTACTTGTGATATTGCTTAAGAGAAATATGATTTAGTATTAGATAGTAGTGCAAATATTTCTTCTCTGATTCTTCCCACGTCACTTTTTTTGGCCTTCAGATATGCCTCATGCAAAGACCACGCGTTTTAAGTCCAGGGCATATCTTAACCCTTTGACGCCTAGCGGGACATATGTGCCCTAGCAAGAGTTCAAAAAATTCTGCTGGGGTTATTACAGCTCTTAAATCTACAGTAAGTGGTCCCAGTAGTAGTTTATGAGCTTGTGTGTTGGCGAATGCCGTGTCAATTCTCACGTCATTTTTTCGTGGGAGACCCCAGTTGTTTGTTTACCCCCTCAGCCACCACATGCGCGTTGCTCACTTACGGCTTTATGAGCGGTTTTCACGTCTGTTTTGTGCAGTGAATGAAAATTGGTAGTGGTAAAAGGTCGGTACAAACTATACCATTTCCAGCATTATTTCACACTAGTGAAATTTGATTTCAAATTAATGAAAATTAAATTCACATCAGTGAAATCTAATTTCGCTCAAATGAAAATTGATTTCAAAGTAACGAAAACTAATTTCTCACTAACGAAATTTGATTTCACATTTTTGAAAATGAATTTCAAACTGACCCTAATTAATACTTATTTTGCAAACATTTATTATTTCAGCCTAATGAAATAAACCCACTGAGTTTAGGAAACTGTGGTTTAGATAACATAAAATACAATTGTTTGAGAAAAGTTTTTTGGATTGATTTTCTCCGCTTTTCCATCCATAGTAATAAAATACAATCATGAAATAATTATGAATTATTTAAATAAATTAAATTTCAGTTTGGCAAATCACGTGGAAAGGTAGATATAATGCAGCTATCTCAAGAGTGAGAAGATTCAACTGAAGTTCAATTTATTTAAATAATTTATAATTATTATTGTTAATTGCTTCATGATTGTATTTTATCTAAGGGAAGTTTGTGTCCTATCGGTATCCAATGAAGGGGGTGATTCGTCGGTTAGGACAAAAAAAAATATTAAAAAATTTGTCTTTTTACAATTTTATCAATGTATTGTGATTTGGTTATGTGCACTTGAATGTTCCATCCTGAAGTCTCGCACTGTTTTATATAATTCTATCCACATAATTTTTTAAGTACACTTCAGTTTTTTGTTAGCACTTTTTTGATGTTCCTAATATATATTAGAGCCCTGATGAAGCCCTAAACTTTTGGTTGAAACGTTGGCAAAGACTTAATAGGCCTTTTAAGTTTTATTTGTCCTAACCGACGAATCACCGCCCCTTCATTGTATTTTACGTTATGTGAACTCAGTGGGTTTATTTCATTACGGTGAAATAAATAACATGTGTTGATGTTTTTTTCAAATTAAAATAATAAATGTTTGAAAAATGAGTATTAATTAGGGTCAGTTTGAAATTCATTTTCACAAATGTGAAATCAAATTTCACTAGTGTGAAATAATTCTGGAAATGGTATAGTTTTGGGTATATGAATAAAAAAGAACTGCTCTCGGTATTTTGAGCATGATTTTGCTTGGAAAATAGTTGAATGCACAATAACTTAATAAAAGCCCTGGACCGCGAAGCGGTCGAGGGCTTTTATTTAAAAGTTATTGTGCATGAAACTATTTGCCAAAAAGCAAAATTATGCAAAAAATATTTGGATAGTTTAATCCATTTAAATTTATAGGTCGAGTGGTATACGGCTAGATTATTTCCTGAATAATTAGGATTGAATTGTTGGCGTCAATGCTATCCAAAGAGTTCTATTTATTATAAAATGTCAGAATATTTCTATCAAAATTCTGTCAAAAAAGGTAAACAAAAATTTAATCGCTGATAAACAAGGTCTTGTGAAATAATCACTTATTTAAACAAAATTCATTCAAAAAATGACGTTGTCTGATGGGTCTATTTTATAATGAATGAAATAATCACTGTTATTATTTCAGCTCGTTATTTTTGGAATGTATCACTTTCCGCATAGTGTGCGGTAAAGTGATACTTTCCATTCGCAAATACGTGCGGTAAAGTGCACTTTACCGCACGCTCGTAGGTAAAATGTGTTTCATTGCACATACCTTGTGGGACACATATGTCCCATGTCCCAGCCCTGAGGGAAATATATGTCCCTTACTCAGAAATCAAAATGGAAGTATTCAAAAATTCCAAAATAGAAAATTTTACATATATAGGGCATACCTGAATATTCGGATGGTGATGCAAGATATATTAAAATTGAATTGTGCAAAAGTCGGCGTCAAACGGTTAAGGTGAAAAAATGTTCAAGGACGTTCAACGCTAAACTGATCTTGAAATCTGTGTATTTGAAGGTCAAAAAAGGTGCAACTAGCTCTAATCGCAATGATTTTTCTTGGGGCTTTTTTATCTCCAGCAACTTAAAGACACATAATTTGCTGTACGAAGCTGCTCTTATTTAAACTTTGTTCTCTTAATTGTTTTGGATTTGGTAACCTACCTTCCAAGCCCATTAACAATAAGTATGAGTATGATGATGAACATAGATTTGTGTACCTTTACTAACAGAAGTTCGGATTCGTTCAGGTCTCGAATCGAGTGTGCCTTCGGCTGCAAGATCTTTCAATTTTCCCAATAATGTGTTTCCAACTTGTAAAGTTCCCATCAATGTTTCAAGTAATGCTCTGCAAATATTGTGAGAATTAAAATTTGACTTCAAACCGCAAACTGTACTACTAGAAGTCCTATAACTAAGCAACAGACCAAAACTAGGATGGCAGGCCATCAGTCAGAATAAATAGATGTTCCATAGAAAGAGGAATTATTTATTCACTTCTCTAGGTCTCACAGACTTACCGTCTTAAATCATGTATGGTAGTCAGAAAACTTTTCACAGCTTCTATTTCTACAGGTACAACTGAGTCGGAGCAGGCTGACTCTAAGGCATCGTTCTTATCGAAAAACTCTTGTGCTTTGGTATGGTACTGGACATTTAGATCCAAAATAATCTAGAAATAATTATCTTTATAATGTTAGTGGATATTTATTTTAGAAATATGTTACCTTTCGGAGTTCTAATGTTGAGTTTATATCCCTCCAAGCTCTTCCAAGAGATTCTGCCATGGCAGCATATACTTCAGCTCTGGGCCTCTGAGTGGCGATGAGCTGGTCGGCTTGTCTGAGCAGTTCTTCAACCGGACTTTGTTTATTCTAAAATAATTATTACATGAAATATAATTTATTATTTAACATATTATTAAATGATAGAAACCACTGAGCATAGTCGAACACAGATTATGAGCGTTCTTTTGTTTCGACAAAAGAGCGTTACATAAATTGGCGACCAACGTTAATGGGGCCTTGAACAAACGTTTAACTTAGCCTAAATTCTTGGACAGTTTAGAGTAAACTATCTTTAACTATCTTTAAAAATCTGACATTGACCATTTCATGATTACACAAGTTTTTTTTTCAGCTTAAATTTTTGTTTTCTTTCTCTGAATATTTTCTTTAATAATTAACAGTATCACAAACTTATTGACTTTCGATATTTCTTTTCGGAAATTTCTTTTTGTATTTTTTAAATAATTAGAAATTCTACCTTTGTATAAAATGGCAGATTCTATGAATCCTAGACATCTTCTACTATCTGAGATTGACTATGAATTAAAATGGAGAGGTATTAAATCTACCCGTGATCGTACGGAAAAAAAAGACGTTGAAACGTGCAATGGACAAAGAGGTCCAAGGTATCGCAATCGGTATAGAAAAGTTTACTTTCGAATTTCAGACTGAATCTCAGGAGATAGAGGCGACTTTGACCAATTTGAAACTTTTAGTTGCTGATTATGATGGTTATACAACTCACCGTACATTATTCACATGACACGAAAGGCTTAATAAGTGATAAGCCTTTTGGGATTATCACGCCTGGTGGTATTTATAGCAAAATTCTATTATAGAATTTTTTTCCAAATTTTAAAGTATTAAAGTTTAGTTCGTTGTATAACGTTTTGAATACCACTCGATGTTTCAGGATTACCTAATACTTTTACCTGACACTCAACGGATTACCAGCAGCACCGCTCCTCCTTCGGAGTCGTGGTGTTGCTGCGTAACGCGTTTCGTGACAGGTAAAAGTATTATCCAGTAATCCTGAAACCTCTTGTGGTATTACATTCGATAATCCCTCAGATTCTCTTTTTCTCCGAATTAAGTCCCGTCTGACTCATGTTATGACCCGTATCCAACGAATTGAAGTTCCCGCTCCTGAATATTTTACTTATGATGAGATTGTGAAGTTCAAGCACGAAAACTATTCCGAATGCCTAGTTCTAGATGCCGATGTGCATGAAAGGGTGGATCAATTCCAAACTTCTCAAGCTCAACCTCCAATTAATTTCAATTCTACCCTAGCCAATCCTCAGCCCCTTAACGTGTCAACAATCCCACTTGCTTGCTCAAGTAATAAAAATTTCATTCCAGAATGGAATTTAAAATTTTCTGGTGATTCAAAAAAGGTTTATGATTTTCTCGAAAGAGTATCTGAACTTGCAGCAGCTTATGAAGTTACAGAAGAGCAACTTATTAAGTCCACTACCCTCTTATTTTCTGGAGACGGTTTAGCGTGGTTTCGTAACATTAAATATTCAGTTTCTACCTGGGATGAACTAGCCCAGCAAATTAAAAAAGATTTCCTTCCTCCTAACTGTGATGACGAAATTTGGGAGCAAATTAAGTCTAGAAGACAAAAGAAATTTGAAAGTGTTAACATTTTTGCCTCGCAACTGGAAAGTTTGTTTCTTCGGTTATCTCGCCCGGCTAGTGAGCACACTAAGATGAAATACCTCAAGCAAAATTTAATTCCTGAATATTTTTCTGCCCTTACTTTACATGACGTTAATTCCGTGGCCGAATTAATTTCCTTGGTTAAAAAATTAGAAGAGGCTAACTTAATAAGACACGAGCAACTTTCACGGAATCAAGTATCCGCTAATGATCACTTTCTTCAAAACAGAGATGGTTCTTCAAAACCCCATAATAATTCTCGAAACACCTCTTCAGGTTTCCGTAATAATATCTCATCGTCCCAAAATATTTACTTCTAACTCTCGTCATACTCCAGTTAATTCTCGTAGTGCTAATCCCGAACGTAAATGTTGGAATTGTGGACGTATAGGTCACTTTTATTTCGATTGCCGTGGATTCGCTGCGGAAAAGCAGACTCCACTGTCAAAACTTGCACAACTTGCAATCCAAAAAATTAACTTGCGATGATGCACGACTTGGCCATCATGTATCCTCTCTCGCGGCGGCCAACTTCCATAAATATCCATCTAGAGAACAATTCCAGCACCTCAAGTATTTTAGAGATCATCTCGTGCCTTCTCTTGTTTCAGTAAATATTCCTAAATATCCCTCTCAAGAACAATCTCTTTACTTAAAATTTTGAAGGACTATCTCATGTCTCTTCAATTACTGTCTACTCAATCCGGACAACAATCTGTTGAACTAGCTCCAGTCTTTGTCCCTCAAACTCTCGATAACCGGCCTTACATTAGGGTTCAAATATTTGAATCCGAAATTTTCGGACTATTTGAAAGTGGAGCCACAATCTCAATTGTTAGTTCAGACGGATTAAAATTCCTTGAAAATTTCAACATTACCGTTAACTCTTCGCCAGTTAAACACATTGCCGTTGCCAATGGAGCACAACAGAAAGTCAAAGGTGTAATTGACTTACCTATATACATTAACGATACCTGCCAGGTTTTGAAAGCTTTGGTAGTTCCTTCCCTAGCTCACAGTTTCATTTTTGGTAGTGATTTTGCTAGACAATTTTCACTGGTAGTGGATTTCAATAAGAATTTTTGCTCAAAATAATTCTGATTTAGAATTTCAGAATTTTAATTCCGATATCTATTCACTTTTTACCTTCGATGATTTACAAGATCACCAACGTGTTCTTGCTCAGCCAGTAATCGATTCTTTCCGAGAAATCTCCAGTGATACTTACATCGGCAGGACCAACAAAATATCAATGCATATTGATACTGGCGACGCTAAACCTTTTAAAAGGAAGCAATACCCAATGTCTCCTTATATGCTGAAGATTTTGAATCAAGAACTCGATGAAATGCTTAAATTAGGTGTTGTAGAACCTTCTCAAACTTATATTTTTTCAGTGGATCTTCGTTAAGCTTTCTGGCAAATCCCTCTTGACCAAAATTTTCGTGAGAAAACTGCTTCTTCTATAATGGGTCGTGGACTTTTCCAATTTACGTCCGTTCCTTTCGGTTTGTGTAACAGTGGTCCTCGTTTCGAGCCAAATATATTTTGCTATCTGGATGATATTGTCATAATCACAGATTAACCCGTCCTAGGACGGGTTAATCTGTGGTCATAATCATGTCATAATTTCTTCAACCTTTGACGAACACGTCAAATTACTCTCTGAGGTCAAGAAAATCTTGCAATAGGGAACAATCATATTTTTCAAAGTATTTTTTTTCTTATTGCTAATGTTTTCAAATATAAAATGTATATGTTTTTTTTTTGTTTTATGTCCTCATTGAAATAAAAAAAATATTTTGAATTTCAAATTATTTTCGTTGGCGCGAAAACGATTAGCTTCAAGATGGTGGAATTTGTGACGTCAACTGTCTGTAAACACAACGTTAAGGTCTGTTCTCACAAGAGCCTTTGACACTTTGCAAACTGTCGGAAAGAATCGCTTAGCTTGAACCTTCGACTGCATTGAAACTTGAAAGCGGTTATTTATGACGTATTTCCGTATAGTGCCATATTGTGACATTTTGTGTTTCAAATAGTTCATAGTTCATCATGGTTGATATAGGAATTACAAAAGCGCAGTCTGACAATCTTTCCTCTATAGACCCGTTTATGGTGGTTCAATATCAGTCGTAGCGTGACGTGAACTGATCGTGGACCAATCGTTTCACGATTCAACAGTGAACCACGAAAGTGTGGACCCTGGATTTACGATCAGTGTAAACTACCCTTAACCTTAGTTTACGAACAGTTGACGTCACTGGAAGCGGCCATGTTAAACGTAACTTTTCCGCGCGAAACTTTTCAATTTAAAACTAATAATTGCCATATGACTATAATATCCATAAATTCAATACAAAACTGTTCATATTCAATATTTTACACAAAAATGTGCACCATAAAAACAAAATAGGCCATATTTATTTCTTATGAGAATTCCCTATTCCTGGGTTATATTGTCGGATCAGATGGATTGAAAACAGACCCAGAGAAGATTTCCGCCATGATTAATTATCCCAGGCCCGCAAATACAACCCAAATCAAAAGATTTTCTGGTTTGTGTGATTGGTACCGAAGATTCTTGAAGAATTATTCTTTCGTTATGTCTCCCATTCATGATCTCTTGAAGGGAAAGAAAAAGAATGAAGCCATTAAGTGTACTACCGAAGCTGAGAAGGCGTTCCTTCAGATTAAACAAGCCCTTGTTTCCACCCCTGTCTTGAGCCAACCTGATTTTTCATTACCTTTCACCATCTAAAGTGATGCCAGTAACGTCGGACTCGGAGGAGTACTCACTCAAGTTATTGATGGAGTTGAGAAAGTTATAGCTTATGCTAGTAGGTCTTTGACAAAGACTGAGAGAAACCTCAGTGCTACCCAAAAGAAATGTCTGGCTTTATTATTCAATATAGATCGTTTCCGAGGCTATATCGAAGGTGTAAAATTCACAGTTATTACCGACTGTCAAGCTTTATTGTGGTTAAACAATCTTAAAAACCCTACTGGTAAACTTGCTCGTTGGACTATGAAGCTCCGAACCCATACTTTTGACTTGGTTCACCGCAAAGGTACCAACAATATCGTTCTAGATGCCTTATCTCGTATCCCGGAATGTTTTCCAGAGATTTCCTTAATCGATATTATTCCTGAAAAGCTTGACAACTGGTATATTTCTCTAAAACAAAAAATTCTTCAGTCTCCTGAGAGTTACCCTCATTTTAAGGTGGAAAATGATGCTGTTTATAAGCTAGTCTTATCTTATGCTCCTGTAAAATCCAATACTAGAGAGTGGAAAATCATGGTTCCAAATTATCTTCAAAAACAAATCATTGACGATTGTCACAATCCCCCCACTGCCACTCATTTAGGTTTCTTCAAAACTCTAGCCAGAGTTCAAGAAAATTACTATTGGCCTAGAA